TTCCTTGTATGCTTTTTGCAGATCCTAATGGCCCGGTCCTACAGAAGTTTTTGTGTAGTCAAATTGCTGCTGTTGATAGAAAAGAACACTGAGAAGAGTTTTAATGCCCTATGTGTTGATGGTTAGATCATTAGAATAGATTACCTGTTGTTGATGTTGCCCTTTGAATGACAAGAGTTACCTTGAAAGATTAAGGTCACTTCCAAAGAAATCAAGAGCTTCTGTTCTGGAGCAGATGTGTGACTTCTCCACTTACTACTTAGACTTCATGTGCATGTGATGTTACTGTTCTTCTGCTTCCCCAAAATACCTTTACATTTTCAAATATACCGTTTTTGCTGTAGAGCTTCTTAGAGAATTGTGGCAACTTTCTCAAGGAAGCAATAGTAATTTCAAATTGTAGTATTTGTCCATACCATGAGGTCTCCAATCCTGTCCTGTGTGACGAGACATTGTGTTCTTTCCCAGCTTCACCAAGAGAAATGTAAATTAAGATGAAAACCTTTCAGTCAATATTTCTTGGCCCTTTTTTTCCCCCCCCATACACATAGGTGCGTCAATACCTCACCTTTTAGAAATTTATTGTAAGTCAAGAAACTGTTTTTCCCTCCTCATAGCCTAGAGAACCTATATATGAGCTCCACTGGGTTCTTCACCCTTCATTGAAGCTGGAAGTTCAAGCACAAATGAATTTCTTCTGTCTTCAAAGGACATGTGAAAAAGTCTTTAATGGCTGTTTTGTATTAGCTAGTCACATTGCCTGAATTAATGTGCTTAATGGCCAACTGGAAACATGCTCTCAGAGTATTAACTGGGCTTGGAGGCAAAGTAGGGAGAGAGGAGAAGGCTGTTTTGTTATCCCTTCTGTTGCCTACTAAAAGCTTATTCCTCCTGTTTGCTGAAGAAATTTGCCTGCTATATTCCTTATATTCTATAAAAGATGTTTTGGCTCTTGTTTACCCAAGAGACATATGCACTGTTTTCTTTTTTGAGTATTTTATGATGTGGAGATCCTTGGAATTAGAAAAATTAGCCTAGGGAGAGGGAGTCAAACCAAGGAACAGATAGCACTTGTTTGATATCTACACATAAGAGTTAGGGCCACAGTTTTGGTGTGCAGGAATTCCTGGCAGTCCCTGGGACTTCAGTCTTCCTTCTCTGTCTGGTGGGGTGTTATGTTTGGATGCAACCCAGACTGGAGGTTGCCAGAGCCGAGATGAGATAAAGGAATGATGATCATACTTCTCTCAATTCCTCTAAGGACCACCAGCCACCTACAGGTCCTTGCAGCTATTCTGCAAGGTTTGGGTCGCATAGTTAGCCAACTTTGTTCAAGGAGCAAAGGAAAATGAATCAAATGGTGAATTGAATTTTAAATCAGAGAGTTCTCCATGATCTTCAAGTTTATCTTAAAGAGTATTAAAAATCAAGACACTGTTCTATTTTTCCATTTTTTCCTGCCCACTTCAAGGCCAAAGAATTTTATGAGAGCTAGAGTGAAAAGATTCTGGACTCCCAGATTGTATTGTTTTTTTCACTTTGTTGGGTAGTTAGAATGGAGTTGTTTCCTCTAAGTTTCTGCTGCTATTGTAGAGCAGTTTTCCTCTCTTAGAAGTCTTTTACCTTTTCTTTTTTCCCTGTTCCCTTTTCATTTAACTTCCTTTATTTTCTTCCCCTTTTTTCCTCTTTATTCTAACCATGCTCAGCAATACTAGGGAGTTTTTATTTTAATAGGTCCTGCCCAAACATTTTAAAATCAAGCAAAAGTAATCACAACCTTTCTCTCCACTTTAAACACAACATTTTTTGACAAGAAGTGCCTTTAAAGAAATGCCTCCTAATTTACGGCGGGTTGCTTTGTACTTTGTTTCTGTAACCTATCTCGTTACATTTCCTGTGTGTTAAGTATGTATGTATTATGAACTCTTAAAAACAAATATACCAGAAGAAAGGAATTCAGTAAATGAATAAAACATTCTTGGGTTGCACGAGTGGCAGCTTAATAGCTCATCCATTGGGACTTTCATATACTATAGTGGCAATAGCCATATAAATATATGGATAGATGAATAACTTCAATGGGGAGCTTGTTACAACTCTGCATACCACGTTTGAGATGAAATCGAACCCTGAAAGTGCTGCCTTATGTGAAAGTCCAATTTATCCAGTGCTAACTGTTATATTCTACCTAAAAATACATAATCTGTGTGTCTGTGTATACATATGTACTCATAGCTAAAACATGCTTTCAGTAGCACACACACATATACATATGCTGCTTCTAGGTGGAATTTAGTGTTTCAGGACTGATACTGATTGCGCTGAACCTCTACAACTTGGTGGACTATTGACATGGCTGAGTTTTCAGCAGTGTGTTTGAGATCAGGTCTTAGCCCTAGCTTTCTTTAAAAGTTGTAAGATAAATGGAATAGGAGCGTAAGGTTGTCGTGTTTGATTGCCTAGGATATACACAACTTTTTCATTAGGTCCCCCTAATTGCAGAGCTTTGTAAATACCCACTTTAATGCCTGTCTGCCACAGCAGTCTGTAACCTTGGGTAGGGCTGAAAGTTAAGTTTCAAATAAATTTTTTTTGTAGCAATTATATTCTCAGGAAAACTAATTTCCAGTTATGCTGGGCTTCAAAACCTAATGTTGATGACTCTGAAAGATGGAGAGAAACTAGCTCATGCTGGGCTATGGCATGGACAGGAGAAACTAGATCACCAAATGAGACAAATAGGATAAGGCTATTAATTTCCTTACTTTGGAGAATAGGAAAATGAATTCCTAGGAAGTTGCTGAACTGTGGTGAAAGAAGTCTAGATGCTCATATGAAACATAACATCAGTCTCTTTTGTAAGGCAGCAGAAATTCTCTCTCTTAGCAGGGGGAGAGATGGGTATTGTGGTGTAGACAAAGGGTGCTGAAGTGCCGTTCATGAAAGGCAGCAATACAGTGATTGTCTATTGATTGTTTTAATAATGCACATCACAGAAAAGGTCCAGCCCTTTATTTTCCCATGAGTTGTGTCTCATTAGAATTTCTCATTTTCATTGGCTAAATTTCCTCAGTAGTTTATTTTATGTTGTGTAAATATATATATGTGTGTATGTATATATATAAATACAACTAGCATCATCTCCCACACTAGTCTGAAGCAACAGCTTTTAGTTTCAGTACTCAAAAGTGGTCCCATAAAGCCCTGTGAAAATAAGGGACTTTGATATTTTCATACTGGTGGATTAAATTGATGAGTGTTTGTTGTGCTGAAGAATAAGGTGCCACTGCTGGTCTTTCAGCTGAATGAAATGATAACAACAGTAAAATAATTGTTCCTATATGAAGTAGATGAATTCCATCCTGGGGCTTCTGGAGGTCAACCTGTTACCTCATGTACCCTGAGCATATTGGAGAATTGTGCTTATTTGATGTATGAACTGTATGGAACAAGATGTTAATCACAGGACTTGCATGCTATGTGCGCAATAATTGAGGGGGTATATTCAGAAAAGGAACTGCCACAAACGAAATTTGCTGGCTGCTGAGGAATGCAGGTCCAGAAGGTGATTTTAATCTTACATTTTTATTCTCTTTTTAAAGAGTTCATTTCCTTTTTTTAAATTTTTTTAAAAAATGTAATAGAAAAGAAAATAATAAGAAAACAAAGGCAGGGGGAGAACTATGTGTGAAAATAAGTGTATTGGAAGATGAGTGCTTTGACAAACACTTGGGAGAATTGACCAAATTGATCAGTGTGTTAAACAATGGGATATAGCCTGTGGGATCAGGAAGTTAAGTGTTTTGTGTGGACATTGCAATAGCAGAATGATAAATTGTTTGTTGTTAGTACTGAAACTGCAGTAGTCCCTCCGTTGCTTTGGAGGTGATAACTAATAAGAATTCATATTCCAAAACTTGCATGCAATTTATAAATCTCCTCGGGGACGTTGAAATCTTGTTGGAAGTTTAAATTAACTGATATGGATTGCATGTCCTTTTCCTCCCTGTGTTCTAGCTTGGAGAAAAGTACATTTTCAAGTAGCTTTTAAATGACAATGAGAACAATGTGTGTGTGCAGTGGGTCTTTCAATAGTTGCCTTTTAAAATTGATTTTTATGATTTTCACAAGTAGCAGTGCATGTACTCTGTAACAAAGATACTTATTCCTGCTGCCTTATGATAGCACCTGCCTGGTTTCCTCAGGCTCCTTTCCTCCGCTTCCAAGGAGGAAGCGATAGATAAGCAGGACTTGTCTCCCACCTAATGCAGTAAACTTCAGCCAGTGGCTCCTTATTCTGTCTCTGCTTAACCTCACAATTTAGGTTCTTGAAGTGAAGCACTGGGCCTTTTCTGAACGTATTTGTATTTAAAGTAATGACTACATAATTAATTTCTTATTCTACTTGTTGTTGGTGGCTCAAATTTCATCATTCTTAACTGACCATGAAAAAAAAAGGTAACATTTGACTATGACAGTGCTACATACATGTGAAAATCCTGTCTCTCTTCCATGTGTTGGGACTGAAAATGAATTTTCCAATAGGCTCTGAAAACAAACAAGTTTAGGCTTAGTTGGAGCTGCTGATAAATAAGAAAAAAATAATTTCTGTATGTGGTTCATCCTTTGATATAAATTTATACAAATATGTATTTTAGTTGTTTTTTTTTAATGTGATTATTATTCTGTATTGTGTGCATGTGTATATGGATGTGGTAGGGTCTTCCATGTTAAAAATGTTGCATACATACATGTAATTTTATATATATATATATGGACGTGCATATATACTACTCAGACAGGTGTGAAAATACCCAGAGCTGCTGTGATTGTGTGTGTGTATAGTGTTCTCCCTTAATGTTTTTTAAAGATGTGGTGAATTGATATTACATAGATTTTACTTTTGAATTAGAAATTTAGTAAGTAATTTTGACATGTCACTTCACAGTACAGTTTTTATCTCTTGATCAACTATTTCCTGTTTTCTCTCTCTGTCACAGGGTGAAAGAATGATGTGATGGACGTGAATATGGGCCGCTGGTCAGGCTCACGGCTACCTCCGTCATGCCTTGCCCTTCTGGTTATCAAGTTCCTGGCCTTGGTTTGCCAGGTGGCTCACGGGACTGCCCCGCTTGGCTTTCACTTCACACATTCCACTTACAATGCCACAGTGTATGAGAATTCTGCAGCCAGGACCTATGTCAACAGTCAGACGAGGATGGGCATTACCATGGCTGACCTTTCCTGGGATATCAAGTACAAAATAGTGTCTGGTGATGATGAGGGTTTTTTTAAAGCAGAGGAAGTCATCATTGCTGACTTCTGCTTCCTCAGAATAAGGACTAAAGGTGGGAATTCTGCGATACTGAACAGAGAAATACAGGACAACTATTTATTGATGGTAAAAGGGTCTGTCAGAGGAGAGGACTTGGAAACATGGACAAAAGTGAACATTCAGGTTTTGGATATGAATGACCTAAGACCTTTGTTTTCACCAACCACATACTCTGTCACAATAGCAGAAAGCACTCCCTTAAGGACTAGCATTGCACAGGTGACCGCAACAGATGCGGATATTGGGTCCAATGGTGAATTTTATTATTACTTTAAAGGTAAAGTTGATCTCTTCTCAGTTCATCCTACGAGTGGTGTTATCTCCTTAAGTGGCCGGTTAAATTATGATGAGAAAAACAGGTACGACCTTGAGATTCTGGCAGTGGACCGTGGGATGAAGCTCTATGGAAACAATGGTGTAAGCAGCACTGCCAAGCTTTATGTTCACATTGAACGTATAAATGAACATGCCCCAACAATAAGTGTAGTAACCCACATTCCCTTCCCATCAGATAAGGAACCTACCTATGCAGTTGTTAATGTTGATGACCTAGATGAAGGAGCCAATGGAGAAATAGAATCTGTTTCTATTGTTGCTGGAGATCCTCTAGAACAATTCTTTCTGACTAAAGAAGGGAAATGGATGAATGAGTACAAAATCAAGGAAAGAAAGCCTATTGATTGGGACAGCTTCCCTTATGGTTACAACCTCACTCTCCAAGCTAAGGACAAAGGATCTCCTCAGAAATTTTCTGCGGTCAAACTGGTCCACATCGCTAGTCCCAAGAAAGAAAGTATTCCCCTGAAGTTTGAAAAGGAAGCATATGATATTTTCATCAGTGAATTTTCACCTCCTGGTGTGGTGGTTGCAGTAGTTAAGCTGATGCCTGAGCCACAGGGTGTGGAATACAGAATATCTCCAAGTGAGGAAGCTGAGTATTTTAAAATCAATCCCAACACAGGCCTTATTACTACTGCTCGTCCTTTGAAAATCATTGAGAAGGACCTCTATGAATTAGAAGTATATGCAAACAAAGGTGGCGATTTAAAAGCACGGGTTACTGTCAGGTTAGAGGATGCCAACGATCACACTCCGGAGTTCCAGCAGCTCTCCTACAGCTCATTTGTCAATGAAAGTGTCCCAGTGGGGTCCAGCGTTTTGGCAGTGTCAGCAGTTGATGAAGACAGGGGAGAGAATGGATACATCACATACAGCATTGCCAGTCTGAACTCGCTACCATTTACAATAAACCAGTTTACAGGTGTCATCAGCACATCTGAAGAACTGGATTTTGAGTCCTCACCAGAAAGTTACAGGTTCATTGTGAGAGCATCTGACTGGGGTTCTCCCTACCGCCACGAAAGTGAGGTGAATGTCACCATATACATAGGCAATGTCAACGACAACAAGCCCCTCTTTGAAAAAGTGGCCTGTCAGGGAGTGATTTCATCTGATTTTCCTGTTGGTGGTCACATCACTGCTGTTTCTGCAATAGACATAGATGAGTTAGAGCTTGTGAAGTACAAAATAATCTCTGGAAATGAACTTGGCCTTTTTTATTTAAGTCCAGACTCTGGTGTCCTGCAACTTAAAAAATCTCTTGTTAACTCCGGCATAAAGAATAGCAATTTTGGCCTTAAGATAACAGCAACTGATGGAGAGAACTTTGCTGATGCTATGTTTGTTAATATTTCAGTAGTTCATGGGAAAGTGTCTTCAAAGACCTTTAGCTGTAGAGAAACTAGAGTTGCTCAGAAGCTAGCAGAAAAATTGCTCAAAAAGGCAAAAGCAAATGTGAAGCTGAATTTGGAAGATGGTTTTCTTGATTTTTATTCGGTCAACAGGCAGGCACCTCATTTTGACAAATCCTTTCCTACTGATGTGAAGGTTTCAGAAGATCTGCCAGTTGGTGCCACCATCCTCAGGATAAAAGCCTATGATGCTGACTCAGGCTTTAATGGAAGAGTACTTTATACAATTTCAGATGGTAATGTAGATAGTTGTTTCAACATTGACATGGAGATGGGAATACTTAGTGTTCTCATGCCCTTGGACCGTGAAAAAACTGAGCTCTATCTCCTTAATATTACAATTTATGACTTGGGTAATCCACAGAAATCTGCGTGGAGACTGCTGACTGTCACTGTGGAGGATGCAAATGATAACAAGCCTGTTTTTCTACAGGACAGTTACTCGGTTAATATTTTAGAAAGTACAAGTCTTGGTACAGAGATTATCCAGGTAGAAGCCAGAGATAAAGACCTAGGATCTAATGGTGAAGTGGCTTACTCAGTCCTGACAGACACTCATCAATTTGCTATCAACAGTTCCACAGGAGTGGTGTATGTTGCAGATCAGCTAGACCGGGAAGCAAAAGCAAACTACACACTGAAGATTGAGGCTCGGGACAGAGCAGAGAGCGGCCATCAGCAGTTTTCCGTTGTGCCTCTGAAGGTTTTTTTGGATGATGTTAACGATTGCTCTCCAGCCTTTATCCCATCCAGCTACAATGTGAAGGTCCTTGAGGACCTGCCAGTTGGCACTGTCATAGCTTGGTTGGAAACTCACGATCCGGACCTGGGCTTGGGAGGCCAAGTCCGCTACTCGCTGGTGAACGATTACAACGGGCGGTTTGAGATCGACAAAGCCAGCGGCGCCATCCGCCTGAGCAAGGAGCTCGACTACGAGAAGCAGCAGTTCTACAACCTGACCGTGCGTGCCAAGGACAAGGGGCGCCCAGTTTCTCTCTCTTCTCTTTCTTTCGTGGAAGTTGAAGTGGTGGATGTTAACGAAAACCTTTATACCCCTTATTTTCCTGACTTTGCTGTCATTGGATCTGTAAAGGAAAACTCCCGCATTGGTACAAGTGTTTTGCAAGTTGTTGCTCGAGATGAGGACTCTGGAAGAGATGGGGAGATCCAGTATTCCATCAGGGATGGTAGTGGCCTGGGGAGATTCAGCATTGATGAAGAAACTGGTGAGTTTTGTTTCTAATTTCTCCTTCATAGAGACTTTTTTCAAAAGCAAAGCTGAGGCATAATTGTTCTACCCTTAACAAGAAATTCAGTTCTTCTTTACAGGCAAGATAAAATTAAAAGTAGGTATTTTCTAGGCACATCAATGAGATTATCTAATTACCTGGTTGCATGCATCACACTGTGGATGAGAAATTATACACATTTCTTTCCAGCAGCTCTGTGAGGGCTCCATTTAGAAGGCAGTGATAGTAACAGAATGACTTGCTTACAGTCACTGCATTGTCTGTTGATCACTGTAAATTACTCAGGCCACCTCCACGAAGTTCCAATACTCATGACTTTGAATCCACTGTTAAACCCAATGAAAGGAAATAAGGACCATGAAAGAAATATTATTTTGTCCTAAAACCTATGTGTGGCCTTCTTCTTGTTGCTGGGAGTCATTTTTCATGGGAGTTATTCTGGAATGACACACCATTCTGTGTAATACACTTTCTTGTGTTTATCAGTGTTGGTGTGCTTATGTAAAAGGTAGAAATCCAGGGAAGTGTTCATAGCTGTAAATGACCTGTGCTAGTTTTCCTTTGGTGCCAGTAGTATTATAAATATTGATGTTAGAAAGCATTGTTAATGTAGTGAAGGTTCTTCAGATGTTGAACTTTATTACCATACCACCCTATTGGAAAATATTCAAAATACTAAATACAAAAGTGTGTTTAGTAAAACACTTAAAAACTGGCTGTTTAAATGTCTGATGGTTGTTGGGAGTAATGGTGCAGCTGTGCACCAGTAGAAGTAGTGAGGAAATTAGAAAATATTAGTCAACAGTTTCAGCAATTATATTAAATATGTTAGGTCTGTGGATTTACTGTGGTTTGTATGTCTTCTTCTGAAGCTTTTAATTGAGAATGTGGTATTAAACATAAGATTAAAATGTATGTTTTGGCAAATTCAAACTGTTTAATCAAATGTCAACTTTCTAAGCTGAACGTTATGAAAAACAGACGACATCACAAATGCTGTGGCTCTCATAGTATAAGCAGAGGAAAATATTTTTATTCTATTTTTGCTACAGCCTTGCGGCTGCAGCTGTACACAGATGATTGCAGTCAAAACCTTATGTCCAGTAACATCAGACTTGAGTGTCAGAAGTCAAGAGGGCACCTAGTGTAATTTCCAGAAATGTTAGAAACTCGCATATCTTATAGTGCTGATAGTAGCGGAAGGCATTCAGGCAACATGATTTAGACATTTGGACACGTGTTTAAATATTAAGCTCCTGCATTTGAAAATGTCATCCTACCTATTTATTGAGTAGTATCAACTTCATCTCAATGGCTTCTTTATAAAGCATTGGGAGGTTGGTGCCAATGCTGCAATATTGATACAGAAATCTCAGCATTCAACATTTATTGAACTTAAAAGAGCTGGTAGGGAAGGTAACTCACTGAATGTCACTCATAAGTGAAATAACCAGTTTTTTACCCTGTGCCTACCATAGCAGAGGTGATGGCCTAGAATAAGTTAGGTCCCTTGTTCAGTAAAACACAAATAGTATTTTAATGGGAATGGAAATTGTACCCAGTGTTCCACAATAAATATATTTACTTGCTTTCTAAAATTGAAATATATTTTGTGGAGGCAAAAAAGCCCCAAATCTCCCAAGATGCAAAGATTTTCTGCTTTTCACTCTTTCATGAATGTTACGTGAAAATGAGCCAACCTGTGCGATTTCACTTAAATCATTCCAGAATAATCCAGTAGATCAGAAGAGTTGGGATTCTTGTTTCTGATTTCCCCAAATATTCAATGCCATGTAAGCCTTCTTGGAAGCAATTTGAAGAACACTTGGGATGCTGAGCTTCAGCCAGGGCAGTGTGGAGGGCAGGGCTTCAGGGTTACTCTGGGTCATGCTGTTGTAAGCTGAATGCAGGATTTGACCTTCTGTGTCAAATAAAATGCAACATTAATACTCTGCTATTGAACTGGTGGCAACTTAAATGCTGCTGAATGATGAATCAGCTTTCTAGCTGTAGAAAAGGGCTTAAGTCACATACTGAATTAATTTATAAAGAGATAGCTGTTTATTTACTTTCAGTGCAGTTCATTTGTCACTTTTAAACTGACGAACTCTATTGGCTTATGTACCGTCTCTCCTGAAATTTGTGAAGGTAAGCAGGAGTGTGAAGTACAACAAATCAATATTTTTGGCTGCTGCCTTAATGAAAAGATGACTGCAGCATCCATTATAATCATTAGGATATAAACTGGGCCAAATTCATCCTGATATATGAGCAGGCTAAACTGCAAGTGTGTGCTTTCAGTGAAATTCTGCTCAAATGCATTGTTTTTATTTTTATGAAATATTACATGTTAATGGTGTTGCCCTGTTTGTTGAGTAAGATGTGCTTTTGCTTCCTGAGGCACATTGATACTGAGGAGTTTAAATGAGGAGAAGCAGCCCTTCATGATGGATACACACTGCACATACAGCTGCACGTTTGTTCTCATGGTGTCTTCTTCCACTGGAGATGCACACAGGTGCATAATGGTACATCTGGAAAATATGAGGCTCAGGGGAGATCTTCTCACTCTCTACAACTGCCTGAAAGGAGCTCGTAGTGAGGTGGGGGTCAGTCTGTTCTCCAAGTAACAAGTGTCAGGACAAGAAGAAATGGTCAGGAGAGGTTTAGATTGGGTGTTGGGGAAAATTTATTCACTGAAAGAGTTGTGAGCCATTGGAACAGGCTGTCCAGGGATGCCGTGGAATCACCATCTCTGAAAGTGTTCAAAAATTGTGTTGATGTTGTACTCATGGCTATGGCTTAGTGTTTGACTTTGCACTGCTGGGTTAATGGTTGGAGTCAATGATCTTGGAGGTCTTCTCAAAGTTAAATGATTCTGTGATCTATCTCCACCAAGCTTGATCTAGCTTTTGGTGTGGGTTTCACAATAGGCTTCTCTCCATTCAGGTCAGAACAGTGGATGGCAGTCAGGGAGCTTGGGAGTCTTCTCTGTACTGGTCCTTACAGATCCTTCTGCACAGTGTAAATGGGCAAATCTGGGTGCTGTTTTAGTTTGGTAAGAGTTGTACCATGGGGGTGAGCCTGGATTGCCTTCCTACAGTGCTGCTCTTTGCCTCATGTTGTATAGAATTGATAGATTGGAGAGTAGTTTTGTTACAGCATTCACTGCTAAATGTGCCAGTTCATACATGGTGGTAACCAGAAGCATAGCAAGTGTTTCCCCAATAGAAGTGTGAATAACTTCCAAATTTGCTTCAGTGGATTTACTTTCCATTTCCAGGAGTCGGAGCCAGTACAAATCTGTAAATAAATAGAATGTCTCCTGAAGTAGTTTGCTGCAGTTCCTGACCTTTCAACTCCATCTGTGGTTTCCCACTACCTTAGACAGAAAATGAAATTTCTCATGGATTTAGACGTCAGTCATGATTTATGACTAAAAAATCTGGTTTCAGACTTTCCTTGAGGTTAAAAAAAAATGGAGGAACTTTTTTTTTATTTATTGACTGTTGATATAAATGTCACAAACATGTCATTTAAGAACCTTGCACTGAGAAACATGTAATGTGATCCTTCTGTCTCCTGTTCGGAACTGCCTTTTTTTTTTCCCCTGTCATGTTCATTTTTTTTGTGATCCAGATATATAATCTGTTATAAAATATGATTGTCTACAATGAGAACTAGTCACTGCAAGCTTCTTCAAGTCAACAGAAGGAAATCAGTCACTGAGAAATATGATTAATTTCACCCTAATGTAAAAATATTAAATAAGTCGTGTGAATCATGCTCTGAAAATGTGCAGAGGTCCTTGTGAGACTAGCTCAGGTAGAGGTCTACACTGAGTGCCTTGCTTTGGTCAGATGTAGCCCATCCTGTGAACAGGAAGATACACTGTCAGCCTTACTGCTAGGTAATTTGTTATGACTCCTCTCTACCAGATTCATGGTTTTAATCTAGTTTCTGGGAATTAGCTTTTATTCCGAAACCCACAAATAAGTGCACTTCTAGACATAAAAAGTGGGAAAAAAATTTAAGAGTGTAGTGGTGAGAGTAATGTAAACGATAGCTTGATATATCATTTTCTGACAATACAGTGTTAAAGCATCTGACCCTCTTTTTTATCTGCAGAAATTGATCAATATGTTATATTTGGATCATGCAGAAGTGAGCAGTAACCTTCCCCTTGTGCCACTCTCATGCTAAAGAGAAGCTGGAACCATTTCCTCATCTTTAGTACTGCTTCCTGCCTGGTGTGCATCTCCACTCTCTTTGCCAGTCTGCTAATTGCAGTTTCTTAGAAGAAAATCGTGTAAAATGCACTGTTTTATCTCCATATTGTTGTGACACAAATGAGCAGAGATGAGGTAAAAAAAAATTGTGGGATGAGAGTATGCTCTGAGTTTCCATCACAGGTTAGCTCTAATAGTGATGATGACTCTTGTGGAAATGTTCTCTGTCAGAGGTCCTACACTGCCTTATTAAAAACCTGGATTTTCTTAGCTCTGGTATGTGTACCCTCATAGCACTGATACCACAGCGAAGTGGTGTCTTTTTGTTGTTTCAGGAGTTGGTGGTGAGTCCAACAAATGCATATGGGTTTATGATATCACCCACCTTGGGAGACTGAATACTATCTATCAGAATCTCTTTCCTGGCTGCAGTGGTGATCTAAACAACTAGTGGGACTTCCTGACTTCTTGAAGGGTTGAGTAAGATGATACCAGGTCTAAACGCTGGAATCCTCCTTTTTTGATGATTTGTTCTTCAGCTAAACTGCATTTTTACTCTAGCTCCAGTTTTTAGTCTGGCATCTGTTTCTACATGTTAATATAACATCCTGGCACACAAAGAGATTCTGTATTTACCCTTACACTACCCATGGTCATACTGGTAATAGGAACTAGGGTTGTTCAGGAACCTGAGTCCCCTAACTTGTAATTACAACTTTAAATCCATACTGGTAATAGGAAATGATC